CCAGAAACAGGGCATTACAAGAAAACTGTAGATCAAAACACCTCATGAACACAGATGCAACAATTTTTAACAAAAAGTTAATCAAATCCAACAATATATGAAAAGGATAATACACCATGACCAGTTCACTACCCTAGGTTGGTTTAACATTTGAAAATCAATCTGTGTAATTCACTGTATTAACAAACTAAAAAGAAAAACCATATGCAGAAAAAAGATTGAGAAAGTTCAATATTCATTCCTGATTTAAAAAACTCTCAGGAAAGCAGGAAAAGAGGAGGCACTCCTCTCAACATGATAGAGTATCTAGGAAAAACCTACAGTTAACATCATATTTAGTGGTAAAAGGCTAAATGTATTCCTCCTAAGATGAGGAAGATTTTTGCTCTTACCACTTCCATTCATTATTGTACTAGAGGTTCTGGCTAGTGCAATAAGGTAAGAAAAAGGGATAAAAGGCATTCAGATTGGAAAGGAAGAAACAAAACTGGGTTTATTTGCCAGTGACACAATCATCTCTGTAGAAAATCTGATAAGACTCTACAAAAAATCTAGTAGAGCTAGTAAGTGAATTTAGCAAAGTTTCAGGACATAAATAAGATCAATATATAAAAGTTAATTGTACTTTATATACTACCAATGAATAATTAGAAGTTAAAATACAAAAACACTGGGACTTCCCTGATGGTCCAGTAGTTGGGACTTTGAGTTTCCACTGCAGGGGCATAGGTTTGATCCCTGGTTGGGGAACTAGGATCCCACATGCCATGTGGAGTGGCTAAAAAACAAAAACACTATTTAATAGCATCAAAAATATGAAATATTTAGGAATAAATCCCAGAAAGGTGAACAAGACCTGTATCCTGAAAACTATAGAACATTGTTGAAAGAAATTAAAGACAACTGAAATAAATGGAATGATACATCATGTTGTTGTAATAATGTCAATTCTCCCCAAATAGATCTGTAGATTCAATGTAATCTTGACCAAAATCCCAAGGGCCTTTTTTTTTTTGCAGAATTTGACAAGCTGATTATAAAATTCATATAGAAATGCAAAGGAACTAGAATAGCAAAATCAATATTAAAAAAGAAAAGCAAAGTCAGAGGGCTTATATTATCTGACTTCAAGATTTATCAAAAAGCTAAAGCAATCAAGACAATGCGGTCTTAGAGTCAAGACAGACAAAAAAATCAATGAAATAAAACAGAGAGGCCAGAATCGACCCTTAATGATTGACTGATTTTTGACAAATGTGTATTGTGACAATCAGTTAGTGCAGGAAAAACTAGATATCCATGTCAAAGGGAAAAAAAAAAAACCTATATATGACTCCAAAAGCAGGATCCATAAATAAGGAGAAAATAAGTCAGATTTCATAAAAATCAAGAATTTTTGCACTTTGAAAAATTTTAAGAGAATTAAAAAGTATGCCCAGACTGGGAGACAATATGTACAAATCCCATATCTCATAAAAGACTTGTATCCAGAATATATAAACACCTCTCAAGACTCACTAATGAGAAACAAACACTCCAACTGAAAAAAATAGGCAAAAGACTTGAATAGAAACTTTGAGTTTATTCAAACTCATGTCCATCAAGTCAGTGATGCCATCCAGCCATATCATCCTCTGTCATCCCCTTCTCCTCCTGACCCCAATCCCTCCCAGTAGCAGGGTCTTTTCCAATGAGTCAACTCTTTGCATGAGGTGGCCAGAGTATTGGAGTTTCAGCTTCAGCATCAGTCCTTCCAATGAACACCCAGGACTGATCTCCTTCAGGATGGACTGGTTGGATCTCCTTGCAGTCCAAGGGACTTTCAAGAGTCTTCTCCAACACCACAGTTCAAAAGCATCAATTCTTCGGCACTCAGCTTTCTTTATAGTCAAACTCTCACATCCATACATGACCACTGGAAAAACCATAGCCTTGACTAGACGGACCTTTGTTCGCAAAGTAATGTCTCTGCTTTTTAATATGCTATCTAGGTTGGTCATAACTTTCCTTCCAAGGAGTAAGCATCTTTTAATTTCATGACTGCAATCACCATCTGCAGTGACTTTGGAGCCCTAAAAAAATAAAGTCTGACACTGTTTCCACTGTTTCCCCATCTATTTGCCATGAAGTGATGGGACCAGATGCAATGATTTTAGTTTTCTGAATGTTGAGCTTTAAGTTAACTTTTTCACTCTCCTCTTTCACTTTCATCAAGAGGCTCTAGTTCTTCACTTTCTGCCATAAGGGTGGTGTCATCTGCATATCTGAGGTTATTGATATTTCTCCCGGCAATCTGGATTCCAGCTTGTGCTTCTTCCAGCCCAGGGTTTCACATGATGTACTCTGCATAGAAGTTAAATAAGCAGGGTGACAACATGCAGCCTTGACGTACTCCTTTTCCTATTGGGAACCAGTCTGTTGCTCCATGTCCAGTTCTAACTGTTGATTCCTGACCTGCATACAGGTTTCTCAAGAGGCAGGTCAGGTGGTCTGGTATTCCCATCTCTCAGAATTTTCCACAGTTTCTTGTGATCCACACAGTCAAAGGCTTTGGCATAGTCAATAAAGCAGAAATATATGTTTTTCTGGAACTCTCTTGTTTTTTCAATGATCCAGCAGATGTTGGCAATTTGACCTCTGGTTCCTCTGCCTTTTCTAAAACCAGCTTGAACATCTGGAACTTCATGATTCATGTATTGCTGAAGCCTGGCTTGGAGAATTTTGAGCACTACTTTACTAGCATGTGAGATGAGTGCAGTTGTGAGGTAGTTCGAGCATTCTTTGGCATTGCCTTTCTTTGGGATTGGAATGAAAACTGACCTTTTCCAGTCCTGTGGCCACTGCTGAGTTTTCCAAATTTGCTGGCATATTGAGTGCAGCACTTTCACAGCATCATCTTTCAGGATTTGAAATAGCTCAACTGGAATTCCATCACATCCATTAGCTTTGTTCGTAGTGAATCTTCCTAAGGCCCACTTGACTTCACATTCTAGGATGTCTGGCTCTAGGTGAGTGATCACACCATCATGATTATCTGGGTCGTGAAGATCTTTTTTGTACAGTTCTGTGTATTCTTGCCACCTCTTCTTAATATCTTCTGCTTCTGTTAGGTCCATACCATTTCTGTCCTTTATCAAACCCATCTTTGCATGAAATGTTCCCTTGGTATCTCTAATTTTCTTGAAGAGATCTCTAGCCTTTCCCATTCTGTTGTTTTCCTCTATTTCTTTGCATTGATCACTGAGGAAGGCTTTCTTATCTTTCCTGGCTATTCTTTGGAACTCTGCATTCAAATGGGAGTATCTTTCCTTTTCTCCTTTGCTTTTTGCTTTTCTTCTTTTCACAGCTATTTGTAAGGCCTCCTCAGAAAACCATTTTGCCTTTTTGCATTTCTTTTCCATGGGGATGGTCTTGATCCCTGTCTCCTGTACAATGTCACGAACCTCTGTCCATAGTTCATCAGGCACTCTATCAGATCTAGTCCCTTAAATCTATTTCTCACTTCCACTGTACAGTCATAAGGGATTTGATTTAGGTCATACCTGAATGTCTAGTGGTTTTCCCTACTTTCTCAATTTCAGTCTGAATTTGGCAATAAGGAGTTCATGATCTGAGCCACAGTCAGCTTCCGGTCTTGTTTTTGCTGACTGTAGAGAGCTTCTCCATCTTTGGCTGCAAAGAATATAATCAGTCTGATTTCAGTGTTGACCATCTGGTGATGTCCATGTGTAGAGTCTTCTCTTGTGTTGTTGGAAGAGGGTGTTTGCTACGACCAGTGTGTTCTCTTGGCAAAACTCTATTAGCCTTTGCCCTGCTTCATTATGTACTCCAAGGCCAAATTTGCCTGTTACTCCAGGTATCTCTTGACTTCCTACTTTCGCATTCCAGTCCCCTATAATGAGAAGGACATCTTTTTTGGGTGTTAGTTCTAAAAGTATTCATTATTCAATAATGACTACTACTCAGCAATAAAAGGGAAAGAACTATCGATAGATGACTGAATAATCAACAACAGAATAATTTCAAAATTATTATGCTGAGTTGAAGAAGCCATACAAAGAAAATACACACGATACGATCCCATTTGTTTAAAATTCTGGCAAATGCCAACTAATATACAGTAACAGAAGATTGTGGTTGCCTGGAGAGGGAGTGAGTGCGGGAAGAGTGATGTAAGGAGGGTATTTACACAGAGGCCTGGGGAAACTTTTGGAGGTGATGGGTATGTTCATTACCTTGATGGTTGTTGATAGTTACATGTATACATACATCAAAACTGTTCACTCTAGCCATGCATAGTTTATTCTATATCAAATATACTTCCATAAAGCTATTTTAAAATGTATATAGTGGGCACACTATGTGTGCCAGATAAGTGTGTAAAATGCAACCTCCTCTTTAATTATCACAACAAACCTACAGGCTGGTCCTATGATTGTACCCTTTTACAGATGACACTGTAGCTCAGAGTTGTTCATGTCCAAGGCTACCCAGTTAGTGAGTGGCAGCCTGACCACACTTCCACTCTTAACTGTGAACTGGCAGTAGAAAGAAATATCTATGAGAGGCACAATAAAGTGCTAAGAGTCCAGACATTCATTATCTAGATCCTCTTAAGAGAGTGTGGAGTAAGCAATTCAAATGATTGTGCCTACCTTACAGATGGACAAACTGAGGTTCAAAAAGATTAAGGTGACTTTTAGTTTCAGGTCTGGAGGAACCGATGTCTTCCTCCTCCTCCTACCAGGGCTCTCTGTCCACTGAATCACAAAGCTCCAGCTGCTGTTAATAGACTTCTGTGTGCGTGTGTGTTTATTTTGTCTCCGATGGCCAAAGATCGGATATATTGAGTTCCTGGTGTTTACAGATGTCAGAAATTCCAACTGAGCACTGCAATATTGCTGGACATTTTCTTCTGCGACTGCCGTTCAGGAAAAAGGTAAGGCTTGACATTTACAAGGGTCACAGGGCCCTCGAGTCCACATAGCACCTTTCGGGTTTCAACGCCCGCGTGCTGGCTGACAGCCCGCCAGCGTGTTCCGCGGCCGCGTCCCGGCGTTCTGCCCAGGAGCCCCTCCCGCGCGGCTCGGTGGGGGCGTCGGGGAGGCGGGCCCGGGGACGCTCGCGAGGCGCTCCGGCGCGGCGCCCCCTACCGGCGCCCTGCTCCCTCGCCCCGGATCCGGTCCGGGCGGCTCGGGGACGCCGGCCTGACAGCCAGCGAGCGGACGGGCGAACGGCGCGGAGCGCCGCGAGCGAACGGGCGCGCCCTGCAGGGGTAGGTGGGCCTCGGGACGCAGGCGGGCGGGCGGGGGCGGCGTGCGCGGGCGGGGGTCGGGGGCGGGCGGGGGGCGCGCGCCGGGGGTCGGCGCGGGGGCGGGGCGGGCGGGGGGCCCGGCGGCGGGGGCGCGCGCGGCGGCGCGCGGCGGGCGCGAGTCATCAATTATGCAAGGACTCGGGCGGCGCGGGGGGCGGGCGCGGGGAGCGCTCCAAGATGGCGCCCACCGCAGTCCCGCCCGCCGCATCCTCGGCGCCTCTGCAGTCCGGCCGCGCCTCCCGGGCCCCGCGCTAGGGCCGCCGCTGCCTCCCTCGCCGCCGCTGCCGTAAGTCGCCCCAGAGCCCCTGCCCCGGCGCCGCTCCTCGTCCGCCGGGTTCCCTTTCTCGCCTCGGGACTCTGGAGCGGGGCTCGCCCATCTCCAGTCAGGGGCTTTGCCGCAGAGTGCGCGGCGGGGCTCTAGGGGCCATGGAGCGGGGTTTCTGCCCTCCGGGTTTTGTACAGGTGCTTGGAAGTCTTGCTTCCTTCTAACGTGTTTATCGGGGATCACTGAGGAGAATTGAGGACCACTGCCCCCCACCCCCATACACCCTCTCTCTCCTCCGCTCTTGGCTGCACAGGGGGACTCTGGCTGCCCTCGGCGCCCCTTCCGTGGTGCAGCACCCCCTCTTTCCTGTATCCCAGAGCCAGGGCAGAGTCGGGGCCCCTTGCCCGGTTGCACTGGAAGGGCAGCGCTGTCCGGATCTTCTAGAGCAGCTCCTTAGCTCTACCCCCTCCCCCATGTCTTACTGCATCCTTCTCCCCCATCCAGCTCCAGATTGTTACCAACTGCAGAAGCCAGGGGCTCGTGGGTTCTTAGGGTAGCCGGGACTCCCCTGTCCTTTACTTGGATGCGTCCGTCCCCCTCCCGACAGGGTGTTCTGGGGCTGTGTTGGGGGCCCCCGGGACCTTCCTCGGCAGGCTAGGATTCCTGCATTAGGGAGTACATCACTTTGAGAATATCCCCTTCCCCCACCCCCACCCCTACGCCACCCGATGCAGAGCCTGCTTCTCTCCTCCTCTCTCCTGCCCTCCCCCACCGTGCCACCGGCAGCGAGCACCCTGGGCTTCTGCTAGCTTTGGGCAGGCTTGGACCCCAGCTCTGTAGTTCTCTCTTGGTACTCGGGGGACTGCAAAGCCTCTGCATTTTTCCTGAGAGCTCAGCTCCATCCCCTCCGTGCCAGCAGCAACCACCAGTGGAGACTTGGCAGTTAACTTTCGGGGGGCTTAGCTAGGGCTTTCAGACCCCTCCAAGGGCCCCAGTTTCGAAGTGATATGGAGTAGGAATCATTTTTCAGTCTGATAAATATGATTTTTCAAACAAGGCATTCCTTCTAGGTACCCCACCCTGTGCCCTCTGCCTCACTTACACTGCAGTTTTTGAAACATGGGGGAATACATTTTACATCCGGAGACTCCAAGATTCAGTATCAGTGTCCATAATAAAAGGATGTCATCTGTTTGGGGAGGGGGGGAGGGTTGGAGAAGAAACTTTGCATTGCATCTGGCTAATTCAGGGAGAGGGAGAAATAATTAACATGGAGCAAGCGCTACCAAACAGGGAAAATTGCTTTTAATGCATGCACAGTGGGCCCCAGAGTAGTCGGGATGGAGGCAGGAGGTGTGGGTGAGGGCTCTGGGGGCCAAAGGGGAAGGCACTTTTTGTAACTGTTTCTCAAGTTTGAACCTGGAGAGCCTTCAGAGAGGTAGGGGTGTGCTAAGTCTGGGGGTGTTTCAGTTTTCCAAGGGAGATTTCGGGTGTGGTAGGTTTTCACTGTTTCACAGTCTTCCTGTACTTCTCTTTTCTCCACGTGCATTAGAAGATAATGGTGGTTGGGGGACTTTTTTTCTTTTTCTTCTTAAGAAAAAAAAAATTTTATTTTTGATGTGTAATGCAAATGGCTGGGTGACATTACCATCCGGTAGCATCCTGGTGGAAATCTTGGGGGAATCAGACTTAAAATGCTGAAAGCTTTGTAATACATTGCCTTTAACCTGGTTCTTGAAATACCGCAGCAGTTTTTCTTTGGAGCTCATGACACACAAGGCCTTCAGTTCTCCCTGAAAGAGAATTTGATTGCTTGGAAGGGGGGTGGTAGTGATGGCTCGGCCCTCAGCGAACATTGTCTGTCCTAGAAATTGAGGCTGTCCCTGGAGAGGGCTCGAAGCATGTTCTGTGGACATCTGATACAGGGTATGTGCAAGTGTGTTGTGTTTCTTAGTAGTGCTGCTGGTGGGTACTGCAGCGCAGCTCTTGACAGTGCAGGACAGTTACTGGTTTTTTGGGTTCAGTCTGAGAGGTTGACTTAATACTTCTTCGGTTTTCTTTTGGGGTTTTGTCAGCTTCTGTCAAAACATTTGAAGGATTTTATTTTAAATGAATAAAGGATTATGAAATGGCAGATAGTGTACTTAAAAACAAACAACCATACAGTTGGTTGGTGCTTTCTTTGCAGGGTCTCTAACAAACGTTTCTCAGGGCCCAGCTTTCCCCCGCTTTGGTTGCCTGTGTTGAGGTTTACGCCAGGGTCTCTTGCCGTGGTGCTGAAAGGACAGTTCCCTTGCAGGCCTGCTAGTGGAGTGCATACATGCTGGACATGGTTTGGGTTTTTCTTGCTTTTATGTCAGCAGGCTCTCCTGTAGATGTGTGCGTGTGTGTGCATGCGCAGCTCGGTTTATACTTGAAGTTGCAGACCTAGTTATCATATTGTATTACTCCCACATAACTCTTCATTTTGGCTGTCCCTCATGGAGACAGTGTTTTTACAGGCTGCAACAGATCCATATGTAAGTCACACAGTGACATTTTGCTGACTGCATTATTTCAGCACATTTTGATAATTTCAAGTAGCAAGAAACTATTAATGTTATGAGATTTTGGTCTCCCAAATTAATCACCTGGATTGCAAAGTTAAGCTGGATCAGAAGGGCATCTTATTTGGATTGGTTTGAACAGTGAACTAGGAAAAGGACTTGACACAGAAGAGGCCGGTATGCGATTCATTGTTTCACCAAACTAATTTGTCAAAAAAGTATCTTAAAATCCTAAAATAGTGAAGAGGGCCATAAAATTCAGCTTGTATGGATCTCCCACCTAGCATAGGGATCCCCTTATATGAGACCTCACATAAAGCAGCTCATTCCACTGGGGTTCCACTGTGACTGAAGTACTTCTGTGTCATTGAAAAGGTAACATAAAGTTAAAAGACATAAATTGGGCGTGATCAGGGGCAGATGTCATTCTTGTGCTTCTTACTAAGAAAAGACTGACATTCAGTGTTCTATAGAGATTATACAAGAAACCTGCACCTGCTTGAAAAGAATACAAAGATAGAGACATATCCACCTACAGCAAGGAAAACATTCTTGAATGGAAGCAAAAATAATTATCTTTAATGTGCCGATAGTATATAACAAGTTGTTCTAGAGCCACATGCATGAATTAATGAATACTTAATTCCTATAGATTATATCAAAGAAGGAAAGTAAAACCACACTGTTTAGAAAGTGTTAAAAATGCAGTTTATTCAGCACCTTAAACTAGGGTGTAGGCAGCAGCTAGCTCACCCCAGTAGACCCATGGCCTCCAGGCCTGGTGCTAGGTGCTCCAGCCCAGCCATGGTGCAAGTTTCCGCCGTAACAGATACTCATCGCCCAGTGTCGTGGGAAGGCCCAGTTGCCACAGGTTATACGCCCATCATGCAGGCCTCTCTGCCATGCTCCCCTAGCTTCAGCAGCGCCTGAAGGTAACACCCCCTGCTCTTTCCACACCTAGCCTTTGTTCTGGAAACCTCAGAGAGGACTGGGGCTTGATTTGTCTCAGGGAATCTTGCCCCTGAGCCCTGGCTTAAGCCTACACTCCTGACCTCTCTGCTCACTGTAAGGGCCCACTGCCTCCTCTGCAGCTCCTCAGAGGTACCATTCTTTCCACTCTGGGTCTTGCCTTTTCCTAGCAGTGTCCCAGCTCCTGGCAGCCTGGTGACAACTCTACATAGAGTGACCTGGGACCAGGCACAGGGAAACTTGTATTGCTCAAGCAGTGTCTAACTGCATAAACAGTAATGTCTGAATAGAGTGCTCTGGGGTGTAGGTGGTTCCTGCAATTGGCCAAAAAAAAACAAAACACAAAAAAAAACAAAAAACAGTTTATTCAGAGATGAGTTTCCATAATTATAAAAATAAAGTATACTTATTACAGAAATATTTTAATATGTGAGAAATAGGGGGAAAGTCATCATTAGTGAAACAATTGTGTTTTATGGTTATTTCAGTTTTGTTTTGTTTTTCTGTAAAGAGGGAAAGAAGCACTTGGCAAAGGTTATTCAGAATAATAAAAATAAATATTTTAAAACCAAGCCTTTTAAACTCTTAAGTTCACAGTCTACTAGTTAGTCATTTAGAGACTTAACTGCTAGACTGTTAGATTTCCAATTTCCTTTTTTTTTTTTGAATCATTTTTTAAAAATTTCAAGAAATTATCTTTAATGTATAAGAATTCATTCTTAGAATTGGGCTCAAATATAGCCAGTTAACTAGAAGAATAAAGAAAACTTCTCTCAATCAGGGACTCAGTAAATATTCTCCCTCAGCACCTACTGTGTGTGAAGCATTGTACTAAGCACTAACACTCTTTAAATGGCAAGAACCAGCTTAGAAAATGATAACATGCTCAAAAACTCTTGACTATTAAAGTGTTAAAAGAAGGGAACAGAACTTTCACCCTTTATGTATATTAGTTGCTGAAATATTGAATGGTAGCATATTAGATCTAGCCCAGTGATTCAACCTAAAAAGATTAATTTTGTGCAGAAACATGAAGTAAATGTATGTAAAGAAAAGGCAAAGAAGAAATCTGGAAAAATTTTCAAAAGATTAATTTTGTGCGGAAACATGAAGTAAATGTATGTAAAGAAAAGGCAAAGAAGAAATCTGGAAAAATTTTCTTTATCCATTTGTGAAGTTATAGATACACAACCAGGACTCGCAGTTAAGGTGAAATGAAGACCCAAGAAGGTTGTCTTGGTTACACCATTGAGAGGAAAAAGTCAGAAGCAGTGTGGGATTTGGGGGATAGGCAACACTAAAGTTCAAGTCTCCACTCTTCTACTTACTAGCTTTGTCACCTTGGATAGGTTATTTAATCTATCTGAGCTTTGGTGTTCTCATCTGTAAAAATAAGAAGAATAATACCTACGTGGCATGGTGTTTGTGGGGATTAAATGAAATCTCTGTTTCCTTATGGTTTCTGACATGTGGAGCTCAGTGTATATTAGCTCCTTTTCCTCTCAGGATTTAGCAGCTTAGTGTGTATTTATATGTGTATTTGATATAGTATTTGTGTACTATATTAAATTTCAGTAGTCTGAAAAGCAGACGGTTGCTTTATCTTCAGTCTGGCTGAGGATAGAGTCAAGAGGTATCCTGACTTTGGATGGACATTGCCAGTGTAAAAGGTGAAAAGTTTTACTGTATAGTTGCGGTGCTGACCGCCACCACCCCCATGCAACTGCAGTTACTAAAGTAATTCTTTCTACGTTCATTCCCAAA